AACCCTTAAACCCTAAACCCTCAAGGCCTCAAAAATTCTGAACAGGTTTAGGCCAATCTCGGGTTGAAGGTCCCGACGCAAGCCTGAAACGTGCGCGTGGCACTCGAGAAAGCGGGTACAGGGTTGAAAGCGCGGCGAAGAAGTACGATTGGGGCTACTAGGGTTTAGGGTTCAGGGTTTACGATTTGGGGTTTCGGGGGTTGGACCATCGCCGAACGTTGAGCTACGAGGTTTAACTTTCAGTAGCTTGACCGGTGTACGGTGTAAGTGTAAGGTACTTACCAAACTCCACATCTTGAAGCCTGTTAGATGTGATGGCTCAGGGGCGAGTGTGTTTGGCGCTTACCGTTCTAGGACGACGTAACAAGGATAACATGGACATGCATCTTCTACATGTGAAGACCAGGTGCTGCTGCATCCATTCCTCCTGGCAAGGGAAGGTGGCCACGGCAGATGTGTCACAGGCAGCAAGCCCCGGAAAAGGCAAGCCCAGATTGGAGGTGTTCGCCTGCAGATTCGAAACTTGCCATTAGAAAACTGAAACTGCGTTGCTGTTCCCGATGCATCACCGACCACTTCGAAAGCAGCACTGCGATTCTGCCTAAAGCTGTGGCTGAAGTCGCTAGGCTAAGCTACGTCGAATGCTGCTGCTCGGTCTACCGCAGCAGGAATGGGTTAAGTTTAGCCTGGTGTAGCTGCCTGAAACTGTGCGAAGAGGGACGAAGCCAAACGCCCCGACGTCATGGCAAATTTTAAGCCGCAAGACCTAGAATAAGGTCCCGGGTTTTTTTATGCATAGCTTATAGCAGTTTCAATTTCAGGGGCCTAGTCATATCTTCTCGAATCCCCAAAACCCTGAACCATCCCCCACAATACCCTAAACCCTAAACCCTAAACCCTAAACCCTAAACCCTACTAACTCGGCACGCCGATCCCCTGGTGAAAAGACCCCATTCGACCGTCCAGCTGCAGAGAGCCCGGAACCCAAGGCCCTCAACGCTCCCAAATTGACCCAAACAGCTTGCTCTTAGGGTTTAGGGTTTAGGGTTTAGGGAGCTGAAACACTAACTAACAACCTGAAAGCGTCGAAACGACAAGAAAGTATGACTTGCTCAATCTAGAACGAGTGACCGCAACATTTTCGCAGCCGCTGGGGTCCCTGGACGAGAAAGACTCCAAGAAGCACTGTGCCGCAGCCTCCGCGTTGAGCACCTGGGCGTTGAATGGGCTCGGGGTTTGAATTAGTATAGGGTCTTGGGGTGGAGCGGACTGAACGTCTGGGTTTAGGGCTTAGGGTTTAGGGTTTAGGGTTTAGGTATAGGGTTTTGGGGTATATTATACTATAAACGTAATAAGGAACCCCCAGTATTAAGTAGTTGACGGGTGTAGGCAGGGGTTTTGGGACTTTGGGATTTGCGTTGAGCTTCGGGTTGACGGTGTTTATGCTTCTTGGAGGGGCGAGATTCGGCATTTTGGGGCCTCTACGAGTCGGTCGCTGTCAGGTTGAGGGAGTTATACTTGGAGGATCATGGGACTTAGTAAGTAAGGTTATAAGTCCCTCAATTGGGGTTATAAGTATAGTTACCCTAATTATAACCCTAAGCCCCATGATCCTTTAAGTAGGGTCCGGGCTCTTTCCCGGCTTCTTGGAGTGTATGAATGGCCTTGGAGTGCGGAGCACGTAGGGCTTAGGTGGCTGCTCAACAGACTCTAACCCTAGACAGCTGCACCCCAAACCACCCTAAACCCTTTACTATCAAATCCTTTTTTTTAACCCCACATACCACGAGGTATGTGTCGATACTTGTCGTGGATGTCTTGAACCGATGCAAGGCACTCGCGTTCGCCATACCTCTGCTTTCTCCAGCAGTGCCTGCGCCAAGCAGCTACCGAAATCCCCAAGAACGAAACAAGATGATGCTGCGAGTGCGACTGAGCTACAAAACCCTAAACCCTAAACCCTAAAACCCTAAAACCCTAAAACCCTAAACCCTGCTCCTACAAAACTAGCACAAGCTAACATTGTCCCCCCCTCATCCCCTGGCAGCCCCAAGTCCGCCAAGTCTCTGAAGACACCTCCCTGCCATGCGTTTAGGGTTTAGGGTTTAGGGTTTAGGGTTTAGGGTTTAGGGTTTAGCCCAAATAATTACCAATACTATTTTGGGGGGGTCTCCTTATTACAATGACAGTATAATGGGCCCCCAGACCCTATTCCAATTGTTAAGGCCCCTACACCCTAAACCCCTTGTAGATCCCTTATTATAGTATCCCTTAAAGGAACCCTTAAAAAGGAACCCCAAAACCCTATTCTAAGTATTATAAGGCCCCTATACTAGGGAAGTCTCCAGGTTGATCGATCTCACCTCGTCGGCTCCCTCGTCCGCGAGTCTCTGACCCAGCCGGACGCTACAGGCTCCAAGCTCCCCGCAGGTCTGGGTCAACCTGGGGTGGGTTCAGGGTTTTACAGGGTTTAGGGTTTAGGGTTAAGGTTTCGGGTTTAGGGTTTAGGGTTTTATAGGGTTGGGGAACCCTGAACAACTTGAAGGTTTGGGGCGTTGGGGGTTTACCAGAGCCACCAAACCCTAAACTCTGAATACTAAACCCTCGCCGAGAACCCAATCATACAGCCCAGGCCCTGCCCTTAAACCCAGGGCCAAGACGTCGGTTGTGGCGTAAGGCCGCTAACTCTTCGCACTTTGCGCGGCTGCCCTAGAACCCCTTTTCCGACGCCAGCAGTCGTGTCGGGCTGAGGACGGAGAGGGCTGCGGGCTTAGGACTACAAGGGGATACGATTACGAACTGTCCAGGCTCCTGGATTATACAGTGTCGAGCATTAACATGTGCAGGGCTCTGCGGTTCAGGGAGCGGGATCCTTCGGTTCAGAGCTGTTGGCCCTGATATTTTTCGATTGCATCGGGCAAAGTAGAACGTTCAAGCCCCATGGCTGAAGGGCCTTCCTGCTTAACTCGTGTTGTGCTCCGAAATCGGAGCCCTTTCCGACAACTGTAGCATTGTGTGGCATCTTGCGGTTTAGGGGTCACTTAAGGCTCACCACTTGCAAGTCCCCCGGCCTTGCCCGGTACTGGCAAAAGGCGGACTCGAGCTCGTGTTGGAGGTCATCGCAGCTGCTACGCCTTCGACGCTCCCAAGTGCTGGAAGCCTCAGATTCGGCCAGCGAGGCATAGCCCCAGCGACGTTTCCTGCGTCGCCACCCGAACCGCCACCTCCGCCTGAAGGGGTCACTGCAATTACCCCCCCCCCCCGCCGCCCACATCCGAGCCCAACAAATACTAAAGCACTGTACTATAACTAGAGACCTGTCCCCTGCCAGTACCACCCTAAACTTTCCGGCCTCCAGGAACGTTTCTGTTTGCCAGAGCCATATCCAGTATAGTATGCTTTCCCCTCCGATTCTGGCTCTGTCGTCGTCCTTCCGGAAGCATCTTTGGCTTCAGCGTCTGGGAAGCCCGGAATCTGGAAACTTCCCTAAACTCTAGACCCCAGACCCCGAAAAACCCCGAACCCTCCGGGTCCGCCGAGGGTTCCAGCGAGCGGGCTCCAAAGGACAGAAAGGACAGAAATGTGAAGAGTAGGGTTCCTTGCATCTCTTTGGTACAGTCATCTTAGAGAACGCCCGCAGAAGCTCGGTCCTTAGGGCCGGAGGGCCTACTTAGGGCTTAGAGAGAGCCGTGGGGGTAATGCCTCAAACAGTCCGTGTTCCTGGTGCAAGGCCCCTAGACCCGAAACCCTGAACCCTGGTTTTAGGCTTGAAGGCTCAAGGATTTCTAGCCCTGAGCCCCAAAAACCCTAAACCCTGAACCCTGACTCGGGCTGAGGGTTTCGGGAACCTCAGACTAAACCCCTCCTGGAAGCTTCCAGCTCGACCCTCAGATATCCAAGCATCCCTGAACCCCCCATAAGCACCACAAAGGCCCCAGAAAAGCCCTAGAAGCCGTAACCTCGAAGTCCTAACCCCAAACCCTAAACCCCTAAACCCTAAACCCATGCGCCCTCGAAACTCTGAAGAGGGAACTGGAAGACTCCAGCAACCCAGGAGCCTCAAAGAGGCAGAGCAGGGATTTCGGATGCACTGCAGCTTTAGGATTTGAGGTCTAGGATCTAGGATTTAGGGGTTAGGGTTTAGGGTTTAAAGTTTTAGGGTTTAGGGTTTAAAAAAGGGTTTACAATATAGAGACTACAAGGGGGCAACGCCTCCAATTCTTCAGACTACTTGAGGCTCCCTCTTTCCCAAAAACAAAAATCTACTAAAATACCAACAACTCATTCTACAGTACTACTGAGGAAGAATCTAGCATTCCTGACCTGAGGGCCCTGAAACCATGCTGCAACAAGAAGAATCCTGAATGGAGGGACTTTGGAGCTTCCAAGATGTCCTGCAGGCATCGTGTCGGCCCTCAGCCTCTTGCGCGGCAGCTGCCAAGCCTGGGGTGCTTCGATTCTTTTGAAATATATCAAGGTGTGTATATATATATATAGAGGGAGAGAGGAGAGAGAGATACACATCTATCCAAACAGGTTTGACGTGCTGTAATGGTTGTTTGGGGTGCTTGGAGGAGGGAAACAGAAGAGAACGCGGATCTGAGAGGAGATGTTTCTGCCATTTTTCAGCTGGATCATACAAAACATGCAGCAATCCTTTCATCCCTTAACCCCGGGCCTTTCCAGCCCAACTGACGCCAAAGCTATGCTTAATCTTACACGGAACGCTACTGAAAACCCTCAAGCCCCCTAAACTTCCCCTGCTTCCTGCTTGTTACAGCACGGAAGCTGTTGACACCGTGCTTTCCCTGGAACGCCCCCTCGAGATCGGCGTTGCACTGCGCCACGCCGCTCCGGAGCTTCTCCTCTGCTTCTGCTTGAGGATGCTACAGGGTCTCTACGGCACCGCTACGGTTTCATACGCGCTTTTTTTTTTTGGGGGGGGGGGGCGTCTTCGAGGATTGAGAGGGGTGTGATGGCACCTTGACGGAAAGAAGCGGCTCGGGTGTTGATGGGGTATTTACAAGGGTTTGCGAGGTTCAGAAGGAGTTTAGGCGATCAGGGCTAGGGCATCATAAAGCGTAGCCTGATCTCTACAAGGCTTGTTCATATGGGTGGTTGTCAAAATCATGGTCTCTTTTTGGGTCCTTATTATAGTACGGCACCTATTGTTTAGGGTACCCCAAAAGAGGACCCTAATTTTGACAACTACCCACATAGTGCTTCTTGGGTGCCCGAGCAGCCGGAGAAGCCTCCGCCTATGCTTGGAAACCTGAAAGCACCATAAAATCGGATTACGATGTGGGTAGTTCTCTAAATTAGGGTCCCTTTTGGGGTCCTCTTTATAAGGGTGCCGTACTATATTGGGGACCCTAATTAGACCCCTGGTTGATACACCCGTCTCGCTGAATTCATCTGGGTCATAACAGGGATCCAAATTTTCGGGCCTTTGAGGGAAATGGTGCTTGATGGTTCTGAGGTCTGCATCACCGTAGTTTAACATGCCCACCCACGTCTTGGGGCTTGAAGTGTGGGGTGTACAGCACATGCTCGGTGAAGGCGACATGAAACAAGATAAAGTAGACCCCGTTGTGAGTAAGCCCCTTCGCTGGGGACCATCTAATCGCAACCTTCTGGCTGTAGTTAGGTGCTAGGTTGTAGGGCTTTAGGGTTTCAGGGCCAAGGGTTTTGCCTGGTTCCTCCGTACCTAGACCAGGGGCGCACGGTACTGCGAGTTCCGACCTACTTCCGCCTCAAGCCGCAGGCAGCAAGCGGCGAAATGTGCTGCAGTGACACGTCCAGGGCATAAAGGGCCTAAATGCCGAATCCGGGTCCTGTAGGCATTTAGCGCCGCACACTTTGCTCCACCCATGAACTGGATTCAAAGGGCCGAGGGTGCTGATGATGATGGTACTTATCCTTGCGGCCTCTTCACTCTTATCAGCACTACGTACCAACGTTGCTATCAAGATGATGAAGAAACATTCTGGCCATGATAAAGCATTGCATCCCTACCGCATAGGCACGCAAACCAACCCAAGAGAAACACAATCCATGCCATGACAACATCTCTGCAGACTCAGCTGAAATACAAAGTCTGAACCCTGAACCTTACAACCCGGCCTCCTAGAACTCGAAGCCTGAAATCACTACCGAACTCGCAAAGCATCCACTGATGCGACGTCCACAAGGATCGCGTGGCTTCTCAGAACTTCCAGCTCCTCCTGATCAAGGCTGTGCAGCTAAGATTAGTAGCAATACACAATCAATTTCGTGTTCATGCCAAAAGCAACAGTAAGAGTAAAAGTAATAGCAACACTCATCAGTTACGACCACGACTACTACTACTACTA